GAGAGAGAATTATTCCGGGCGTGTTCCATCGTACCAAAGGAATTTCGATATGACGAGAGAAAGACGATGAAAATAGAAATGGAGAAACGATTCGACGGTAATTAAAGTCCGTTCGAGTCGTTTTCTCGAATGTTTCGTGCGAGAGAGAAAAAAAAAGAGAGAGAGAGAGAGAGAGAGAGGAAAATTTCAGAATAAAGACGAAATAGTACGAATAAAATGAGAAAACGATTATGATGCCGTAATAAAAAAGAGGAACTCGTGAACAAAATTATCTCAAGTATTTACGATCACTTTTACGATTACCTTTTTTTCTTCTTCTTTTTTTTTTCTTTTTTTTCTTTTTCTTTTTACGATTACACGCCATTTCTTCCCTTTTTATTAATTTTCTTAAATCATTGTTTTTCTCATCCGTTTCTTTTCTCTTCTTTCTTCTCTTTCTTTACCTTTTTTTTCCTTTTCATTCTCCCTCTCTCTCTCTCTCTCTCTCTCTCTCTCATCTCATTTTCAATTTGAAATAAATCAAACGATCGTGTTTAACGAGATTAAAGGATTGATATATACGCACGAGAATACTGATTGATTCGAGATTAATTTTCGTTCATGTTACTTCGATCCTTCATAAGTTTCATGTTTTGTTTAACAACAATGTATTACAATAATGTTCTCCCAATCGTAACTCGATTCTCGAGTTGAATGTTAATTCGATATTTTCTCTCTCTCTCTCTCTCTCTCTCTCTCTCTCTTTAATTAGCAAAAAAAAAAAAAAACAAAAAAAGAAAAAAGGTACGCTTCATTCTCTTACATTATTATCTCTTTTCAATTTTACCGAGTCCTTACCAAATCTCATTCCGTTGAATAAAGTTATGCGCATTTTCCTTCCGTCCATTTAAAAAAGTTTGTCAGTAACGATTCTTGTTTTCAAGATGGAAAGAGCTTTTCTTGAATGTACCATAAAACCTTCCTCTTTGCTTTTCGTTTCTTCCTTCTTAACATAATCGTTGCTTTTCATTGAACGAAGTGAGTGGTTTTCTCTCTTTCTTTCTCCTTTTCTCCCTCTCTCTCTCTCTCTCTCTCTCTCTCTCTCTCTGTCTCTCTCTCTGTCTCTCTCGATCTTCTTACACTAATGCATACAGCCACACATTCATACATACACAAACACTCACTCACACACACACACACACACATATATATATATATATATTCTAACAAAATTTTGATTCTTTTTTCATCATTAAAAATTTATAATAAATAATAATAATAATAATAATAATAATAATAATAATGATAATAATAAATATGGAATTTATAATAAATTATACGGATATAATCATTCTACTATTAATTAGAACGAAGTAATATAATTAACCTTTATATATTAATAAATAATAATTATTCAATTAATAAAGTTATCGTTAATAAGAATAATAACGCGAATAAATACGTATGTATTTCTAACAAATGATTTCTCTTCGATCGATAAATAATTAGAACGTACCGACTTATCCATCATTAATTTTCACCAAACCGGTCTAATTTCGATTCTCTATTCGAAACAATAAGCCGAACAGTTGGTCAGATATTGGTCCAACGTTAGAACAATATTGACCGACATCAAAACCATTATCATGAATTTCTACATGAATTTATATATATATATATATGCATGCGTGTGTGTGTGTGTGTGTAAATTTTGTCCATATAACAACGATTTTTATATTTTATAATACGAAACGTTTTATTTCTCACGTTCGACGTTATACAATGAAAGGATTTATTCGATGTACTTTAATTTTCAACATACTTTTTTAAAATCCTTTAAGGAAACTCTTATCATAAAATACGATCAAGAGAGAAATAGAAAGAAAAAAAAAGAGAGAGAGAGAGAGAAAGAGAGAGAGAGAAAAAAAAAAAAGAAAGAGAAATGAAGTCGAACAATGTTTGAACGTAGAAAAGTCACGTGTCTCGCGTAAATTGTACCTCTTATTTCGAGAAAATCTATTTAATCTCGTAAAAAAGAAAATAATAATAATAATAATAATAATAATAATAAATAATAAAAGAAGAAGAAGATTGAGAAGAAAGAGAGGATAAAAAGATTTACCCAATTTGATCCACAGTTCACATTCAGAAGATTCTCCTCGCGTTCGTAACAATATCGAACGAGATCAGGTGTCCAGCATCGTTTCACTTATTTTCAAAAGATATCATTCTCAATGAAGAAGAACAGATAACGATTAAGAAACGTAAGTGTAATATATCGTGTGAGAAAATATGAAGGAAAAAAAAAAAAGAGAAAAGAAAAAGAAAAAGAAAAAGAAAAAGAAAAGAAAAGAAAGAAATAAGAAAACAAAAGAGAAAGAAAAAGAAATTCCTACGAAAATAATTCGATCACAACTGATTGTCGCCTTTTTTCTTTTTTTTTTTTTTTTTTTTTTTTTTTTCAATTAAAAATTTTCAATTCTTGACATTTAAACGACAAAATAATCGAATAATGGCGAATTAGGAAAGGATGATTAAAGATAATGAAAGAAACAAAAAAAAAAAAAAAAAGAAAAAAAAAGAACGACAGATAAATAATTAGATGGATGGATAAATGGATGGATGGATGTATGAATGGATAGATGGATGGATAGATGGATAGATGGATAAAGTGAAAAGGAGAAACAGTAAGAGAGATCTCACGGAGGTAGAACGTGTTGCCGTCTATACGGCGTCGCGACGATCACTGCGAGCGACGACGCGACGCTTGTCTCTGACCTCACTCTTCTCTCCCTCTCTCTCTCTCTCTCTCTCTCTAGATATATATATATATATATATATATATATATATATATGTATTATATATATATATATAATAGCGCGCGTGTGAAGGTTGGGAGGCCGCGCTCGCGCGTTACGACTATATACCTATACAAGTACATATATACATATATGTATGTATGTATATCGCACACATATGTAAAAGAAGAACGGAAGGAGGTAAACTATCACGAAACGTTTGTTGTTCGTACATGTTTTATATACTTCCCTATATCATCTTCATCTTATTTTTCTCTTTTTTCTTTTTGATTCTTTTCTTTCTTTTTTTCTTTTTTCCTTTTTTTTCTTTCTCTCTCTCTCTCTCTTTTTCCGTTTCGTTTCGTTCTCGTCCTTTTTCTCTTTTTCTTCCCTTTTTCCACATTATATACTCACAACAGACACGAGAATATTTCCATCGGGCATGGAAAACCCCATGAAAATTTCTATACGAGTGAATGGACGATGATATATTCCTTAGACACTGCCTATCCCCTATCACCCCTATCACCAACCACCCTACTATCCTTTATCCCGTCCAACCATGATGATGATGATGATGATATTTTGATTCAGTTTACTTGAGTTTGCACGGCTCGAAGCTATTGTTTTGTTGATACGTTCTAACGTGTGGGTGTATGTACATATATGTACATTGTAAGGATACATAGGATGGATTCCTGTTCGTATCTACGGTGTAAAGTCACCGATCCTTTGATCTCCATCGTTGTCCTCTTTATTACCTTTTAATCGGCGAATAGGTTATCGATTCTATCTACTACTAACATTTCACCGATTGAGATTTCATCGAACTGACAAAATAAATCTTTCCGGTATTAACATTGGACTATCAAGTAAATATATATAAAAAAAAAAATATATATATATATATATCCTTTTTATTTTACAATCAATTACATCTAATTTTCTAATATATCGCTTCGTAAGATACACTTCAATACTACATTTTATCAAATACATTTTAATAACGATTATTATCACTCTTTTCTTTTTTTCTTCTTTTTTTTCACTTTTTTTACTTCTCTTAAATCAAGGTGTTCATTAAAAAAAAAAAAAAAGAAAAAAAGAATAAAAATAAAACGTTTATTATTGACAATAGGTATACTTATTGACCAAGATCACTTAGCTATCTATTGACCATTATTACCAGACGAAAGAATCCTCCTTCTATTCCTAAGATATAATTATCCATATCTCGAGTTTCCCCAAAATTACATAATTGTAATTGGTTGTTATAATCTATCCCCTTTATAACGTTGTACGATCGATCTCAGATCTTTAACATGGATGATGGTAAATTGGAAAGATACGATCAAGGCAATCGTATTAATCTGTACCGAACGAAGGAGAACACCCTTGAAGATCCATGATTAAACCCCTATCCATCGATAAGCGAATAAGAACGGAGCATAGATACGAAAAACCTTAGATATATCTATCCCTTCTCCGTCCAACTTGCTCCGCCCTATAAACTCTCTAAGGCCGTCTGGCCTCTTTCCCTCCCTCCCTCCCCAACCCCCGTTCCCACTTCCCGTTCCCACCCGAGCAATTTCTTCCTTCTACCCTTTATCACATGAACGGACTATCGAAAAACCGATCGACAAAAGAATTGTTCTTTTTCGTGTCGTGAATAAACGACAATTCCCAATTTAAAGGTACAATTTGAGAATCCACGGAATCCTCCATGGGAGAAGAGCTGAGACAAGGGTGTAAAAAGGGAAGAGGAGAGTAGAGAGATTGGATGTTGAGTACGAGGGAATAAAAAAGGTCATCGGGAAGAGTAAGATAGGGTTAGAATCGAAAAGAAAGAAATGGCTAGGGTATGGAGGGGTTGGGGATTGGGGGAGAGGTGGAAGAAAAGAGGATTGAGAAAGGTTATGATCTTTAGTAGTGATCGTCGATGATTACGGAATTCGATCGAGCGTGAAACAAAAACAAGAGAGAGAGAGAGAGAGAGAGAGAGAGAGAGAGAGAGAGAGAGAGAGAGAGAGAGAGAGAGAGAGAGAGAGAAAGAAAGAAAGAGGAAAAGAAAACGAAGGAAAAGATCGAGAGTGAAAGAAAAGAAAAAAAAAAAAAAAAAAAAAAGAAAAAGGGAGAGCCATTGCCAGGCACGTGCTCTTTTTTTCTTTTTTCTCTTTTCCAGCTTTTTCCCGACCCGCCCTCCCCCCAACCCCACCACTCACCTGCCCTACTGTCGTTCGAATCCTCGAATGGCCGTGACCCGTAAGAAGAACAAGTCGTTCAAGTTGGATAAGCTTATATATGCGTCGTGTATACCATGAGAGTAAATGAAGATTTATCTTTCTGTCTCTCTCTCTCTCTCTCTCTCTCTCTCTCTCTCTCTCTCTCTCTCTCTTACTCCCCGTTCACCCCATTCACACCTAACAGAGTAGTGCACCCTGTACCACCAGAGAGGACTACACGCCTACACTGTTGGATCAATAGCGGTTTGCAGGGTGTAGATACTCGGATGTCAAGATAATTTAATGCGATAGCAAATCGTCCCTCTCTTTTCAATTCATTCTCTTTCATTCTTACATTGTCTGTCTATCTCTCTCTCTCTCTCTCTCTCTCTCTCTCTCTCTCTCTCTCATCTTCTCTCATCCTCTCTCTGTTTGTGTCCCTCTCTCTCTCTCTCTCTTTCTCTCTCTCTCTCTGTCTCTGTCTGTGTCTGTGTCTATGTCTGTCTATCTCCGTCTATCTACGTTAGTCCTCTATCATTGGAACAGTCAATTCGACTGCGATGATCATTTTACACTCACCGTGAATAGTGATACGAGGAGAGATACGGACGATGTTAAAGCGCGAAACGAAATAGACAGGACGGATAGATTTCCCGTTGATCTAGCTCGAACAAGTAGGTAAGTAAGTAGATAGGTATTACGTTACCATACTTGAAAGCATGTCAATTTAACTATAGCGTCTGTCGTGTTATTATTCCACGACAACGAGGAAGTATCCGATGATATGAAGAATTAATTGGAAATGAAGCAAGACGGTTTTTCTTTTTCTTCTTCTTCTTCTTCTTCTTCTTCTTCTTCTTCTTCTTTTTTTTCTCTTTTTTTTTTTTTTTTTTTTTTTGTTAATAATACCCAATCAGAATTTTAAAGTATCAATTAATTAAGTATCAATTAATAAAGTATTAATTAATTAATTAATTTGCACGTACGAAGAATTATTATTATTCTCGATATTTATTAGCAAAATTAAACGATTAATATAAATGATTATCATGATTAATGTACCGTAAGAATGAAACGTATCTCTTCGTTAGAAATATTCTGATCGTTTGTTTTAAATAATTACGAATTATTTATATTGATATATATATATATATATATTTTTTTTTTTCGATGAAACAACGACATTATAATAATTTGTATTGTTCGTTATTCGAATTATATGAATTTTATGTAAATGATATTTTATTTGATTTAATATCGGCTCGTTTGTTTCAAATATTTCATGAAAAGATATTGAAAGATATTATTCTTATAAATAATATCAATTAAGAATTATAAAATCTGTAATAATCTTAATTAACGATCGAAGATATTAAAAAGAATAACAAAGAGAGAGAAAGAGAGAGAATTATCAGTGTTATCACGAGTTTATAATTTACGTTTATAACTTACGTTTATATAATTTCATTAAAAAAAGAAGAAAAAAAAAGAAAAAAAAAGAAAAAAAAAGAAAAAAAAATTAAAAAAAAATAAAAAATAAAAAAAGAACGTAAACCTGTTTTTGTTGTTGTTCTTGTGTTTTCCTTTACTTAAATGTTCTTTCTCTGTCTCTCTCTCTCTCTCTCTCTCTCTCTCTCTCTCTCTCTCTCTCTCTCTCTTTTATTCTCCCACTCTTTCCTGTCGTAACATCGAGAACATTGATCGATCGATTAATTATATAAATGATATTTATTCTGTCGAGATACGAGACGTTTTTCTATTTACCAAAAAACAATTTTTGCTCGTTGGATTGGAACGCTTTAATCGACCACTCTCAACCCCCGTTTGCACCTTCACCCTTGCCCTCATTCATTTCGATGGCATTCGATCGAAAATCCGTAATGACAAACGACAGATAGATAGTAAGTAAGTAAGTAAGTAAGTTAGATAGACTGAGTTATTCTTTGTGCTCTAAATGCATTCTTTGAGACACGATGCACTACGAGAAATAGAGAAAGAGAGAGAGACAGAGAGAGAGAGAGAGAGAAGGAGAACGATATTGATGCTCGATATATTGCACTAACACTAACATTCGATACTTTCGTTGTCACTACGATCCTATTGAAATCCTTTGTTGCCCAATCGAAATACGTTTCGCCAATGCACCGTTAAAAGGAAATGCAATTTATTTTTATCTCGTGCCAGTTCGAAGTGAGCTCCTCCTTTATCTTTCTGTTTTCATCTTTACAAGACAGAGAGAGAGAGAGAGAGAGAGAGAGAGAGAGAGAGAGAGAGAGAGGGAAGCTAAAAAAAGGAAAAGGAAAGAAAAGGATTAAAAAAGAAAATCGTCCGAGGATTCCGTTCGAGAAAAGATTTTCTTTTATTTTTTTAATTTTTCTTTTTCTCTTTCCTTTATCTCTTTTATTTTTCTTCTTTCATTTTTACTTCTGACTATCGCGTTCTTCGTATTCAAAAAATTCGATCCCACGCTTTCCTTTAACGTTTAAACTTTTAAGAAAACTTCGAATTATAAAAATAATCTGATAAATTGATCTAACTCTTTTTTAATCAACGAATATGCTTTTATCATTAAATCGTGAGAAATGTATTTAAAATCATTAAGATTAACGTTTAAAGCGTCACTACTTATTTCTATTTTCAAAATCTTATATTTTCCACTTGATCACGGATCAGATTTTTCTAACGAAAAATTCAATGGGAATAAAATTATTACGTTCAAAGAAATTAACTTATCCCTTTGTTGTGGGGGGCGGGTTGGGGGGCGGGTTGGGGTGGAGGAGAGGTGGTGGGGAGGAAAGAAAAAAAAACAGGTTGCAAGTTAATTCGATTGAAAAAGAATTTATAAGAGATAAGGTTTCGTTCCTTCGTAGAAATATTCAGCCAATAGCTCCTTCCATGAAAGGCTATTATGCACACACACACACACACACACACATATATATATATATTTAATTATATGTACAATATACATAATACATACATATACCTATACACGCACATATACATACAATATATATATATATATATATATATATATATATATATATATATATACATATATATGTATGTGGAAAATGTGGTAATGTCCCAACTTAATCGAACCGAGCATAACCGAGACTAGTCGAACGACATAAATTGTATGAGCATAGTAAATGTATGTATGTAGGTGGTAGAAAGCAATGGATACACGATACAATGCTAACAGATCGGACGACGTAAACAACTGACGAGAATAATTTCGTTAAATTTCCTTGACGTCTCTTATATCCTTGCCGTAGGGTAACAAGAATAACGTCGATCGAACGAGAGGAAGAAAGAGAGAAAGAAAGAAAAAAAAAAAAAAAAAGAAAAAAATTATCTTCATCACCCCCCCCCCACTCCAACCACTCTCTCGTAACCAATCATCTCCCAAACCCATTCAACCAGACTACCCATGTCCAAGATATTAATAATTAATAATACATAGAGACGATTGTGTTTGTTAATGAAAATGATCAAAAGTGCGTGGATGCGTTATTTGTGGAAAAATAAAAAAAAAGGAAAAAAAAAAGAAATAAATCGTAACGATTAAAAATGACCTTTCACGCGCGTTTCAACGCGTTTTTTTCTTTCTTTTTCTTTTCTTTCTTATTTTTTTTTTTTTTCTTTTTTTTTTGGTTAATCGTTTCCATTCTATAAATGACCAGGCAAAGATAATAATGAAAAATTCCATAATTCGTAATCAATGTTTGAGTTCAAGTTCAAGTTCGTGTTAACGATAGAATTGGAATAGTACGGCAAGTCAGGAAAATTTTCCGGCAAGTTCGTTCGATCATTCAATTCAACGGAGATTCAATTCAAAAGAACAGAAACGTCGTTCTCCATTTTTTTTTCCTTTTTTTTTTGTTTTTGTTTGTTTTATTTTTTTTTTCTTTTTTCTTTTTCTTCTTCTTACCACCGAAACTCGGTCCTCCATTCAAAATCGGGATTTGTTAACACGACAGAGAGAGAGATAGAGAGAGGAAGATAGAGAGAGAGAGAGAGAGAGAGAGAGAGAAGGAGAGGCTATTGTCGATCTCGTGCGACGAACGATGATATTAAAATGGGGTGAATAGACGAAGATAAACAAAACAAACAAACAAACAAACAAAATCCACCGAGAGAGAGAGAGATAGAGAGAGAGAGATGAAGACGTGGAAAAAAAAAGAAAAAAAAAAGAAAAAAAAAGACAAAGAAGAATGAATTCGGCTCATGGTACACCGCGAGATATATATATATATATATATATATATATATATATATATATATATACGTATATATATATATATATCATTATAAAGATAAGAGAGCAACGACAAAATCTATTCTGGGAGTTTAAAACGATGCTAAACCGAGATGAGTAGTAGTAGTAGTCCGGTGATTGTTCTTCCGGATGATGATGAGTGACAACTCGGTCTTGGTAGTAGAACTGACCGAATCAACGTATGTATTATACATAGATATGATAAATATAACGCATATTTCATTATGCATTAATATCTTACGCTCGATTCAATTTAATCTGATCAAATTGAAAACGTATGATTATCCAAAAAGGAAAATTAAAGAAAGAAAAAAAAAAAAAAAAGAAAAAAGAAACGAAAGAAAAAAAAGACCGGGGAAATGTTAATAGAAGAGTGGAAGAAAAAGGAAGGAAGGAAGGAAAGAAAAAAAAGAGAAAAAAAAAAAAAGAAAGATTTCGAGGGAAGGACGAAAGAAGGAACATTTCTTCCATTTTTTCTTTTTTTCTTGTTTTTTTTTTTTTTTTTTTTTTTTTTTTTTTATTCTTTCTTTGCGAGATGGGCGGGTCAGAGGTAGAAGGGTGTAGGTATGCGTGTGAGAAAATCTACAAAGCACGAAACAATCGTACGATCGAACGTCGAAAATGTTCAGTAGTCCGAAATGAGAACTATCAGGGACGGCACAACGTTGGACAATTTGAAACAATTGCGGACGTTGCGAGTAAGTGTAGTTACTACAACGTCCCACGGGTGCACACGCGATAGAAGAGATTCGGACGAGGGCATAAATACGAGGAAGAGATAGGAGGAAGAAGAAGAAGAAGAGAAGGAGGAGAAGGAGGAAGAAGAAGAGGAGGTGGTGATGGTGGTGGTGGTGGTGATGACGATGACGATGACAATGACAATGACGATGACGATGATGATGATGATGATGATGATGGTGGTGGTGGTGGTGATGGTAGTGGTGGTGGTGGTGGTGGTGGTGGTGGTGGTGGTGGTGGTGGTGATGATAGTGATGGAGATGGAAGTGGAGATGGAGGTTGGAGATGGAATAGAAACGACGGTAGAATCCGCAATTATTCAATTGCCTCCACGAATCGTCGTACCGCCTGGTC